GTTAGCCATTTTGACAATAAATTATATTTAAAAAAGAATAAGAAGAAAGTTCAAAGCAAAGATTCTGACCACCATGGAGCAAATCTAGAAAGCAATTAGTCCACATTAAAACAGGTGATAAGAAGACTCCAAGAAAAATATCCGAGAGCAAGAATCCAATGGTTTTGGAGTAACAGAAGGTTTTGGGAAGAACATCTACAGCAGCATAAGAGTGGAATTTATTCCAAACAATAGATAAAATTCATGAGAATTTGGAAAGTATAGGAAATAGAAGGGGGGGAGGTATGTATTTCTTTTTCCAACAAAATCTGTCAAAACCAATCAGAAAATCTCAACCAAGCAAAACTAAACTTAACTGAAAATTGTGTAAGAAAGCAAAGATTCGGGGTGCCTGGGTGGCGCAGTCGGTTAAGCGTCCGACTTCAGCCAGGTCACGATCTCGCTGTCCGTGAGTTCGAGCCCCACGTCGGGCTCTGGGCTGATGGCTCAGAGCCTGGAGCCTGTTTCAGATTCTGTGTCTCCCTCTCTCTCTGCCCCTCGCCCGTTCATGCTCTGTCTCTCTCTGTCCCAAAAATAAATAAACGTTGAAAAAAAAATTAAAAAAAAAAAAAGAAAGCAAAGATTCAAATAAAATGCATGAAACTAAGTCAGATTCTGAGCAATTAGTGGAAAGTGAGAAAGGGAGCATTTACCTGGAGCATTGACCTTCTGGTACCGTATACCTCATAATACTGGAGCCCTGGAGAAGGAAGTAAGATCTGAGAGCATTACCCGACTCAACAGTGAACAATATTTTTATAGTCAACTTATAGTTTATCAATCTGTTGATTATAAATGTACTGGCAAGCATGAAAGACCAGTTAGGACTAAAAAATGTGCTTAGGCATACAGCTGTAGTCTGCAGTTTATCATCCATTAAGAAACTCATCATCAAGTTTCTTTACTATACAGTATTTTAATGATATGACATCACCTTGATTAAGCTTTTGAAAGGTAATATTAATTAGCTTAACAAGAAGTGTGTGGAAACTATATAAGTAGAAATATTTTCTCAGAATCATGAATAAAAAGTTAATAAATTGAAAGGTAAACATTTCTATGAGATTGGAGAATATTAGTTTTTCTTAGATTAACGTAATCTCAACAAATAAAACAAGAGGATGTTTTGAGGAGTTAATACGTAAAAGTAAATAAAAGAATTCTGAAAACAGAAGTTTATGGGGAACAGCTAGGAACCCTAGCTTTTTAAATTCATTACGATGTTTTAAATTCATTAATCAAATTATTAATTTGTTTTAATCATTATTAAAGTGAATGGACAGTTGTTAGGCAATTTGGAGTGAGATAGATTGATGGAAAAAAATAAAAATTTAGAAATAGAGCTGAAATTGTCTGAGTATTCAGTTTATGATAAGAGGTATTTCAGATTAGTGAAGAAAACATAAATTTTTTTCAATTATATGTGCTGAGTCAGCTGATCATCTATTAAAAGAAAAAATAAGATTAATTCTTATCTCACGTCTTATACCAAAATAAATTCCAGATACAAACTGATTTAAATGTGACTTCCGGTTAAGCATGTTAAACATAATAAACTAAAACTACTTCATAAAAGTATGAGTACATTTACGTCCAATCATCCAGTGAGAGAAGTTTTTTACCTTAGATAAAAGAATAGCAAATTAGACCACATAGAAATGTAAAATTTATGTTCACAAAAATACCACAAATGGATTGAGGAAAATACTTTAAACATATATAACAGATAAAAGATACATTTTCTTAATTTATGAAGAGCTGGTAGAAGCCATTAAAGAGGGACAAGAGGTCAACAGGATAGGAAAATGGCGTTAAGTAGAGACAAGGAGCTCAGAGAAAACAACTTCCTCCAGCCCTTTGTTCATGGCCCCCTTCTTCCCCATTTAAGTCCTTCTCATTTTCATCATGACAATCACTTGCCATCATTTCCCCCAAACAGTTCTTGCCTCACCCAAGAGGAGTACATTGATACTTCTTTTTTTTTTTTTAATTTTTTTTTCAACGTTTATTTATTTTGGGGGGACAGAGAGAAACAGAGCATGAACAGAGGAGGGGCAGAGAGAGAGGGAGACACAGAATCGGAAACAGGCTCCAGGCTCTGAGCCATCAGCCCAGAGCCCGACGCGGGGCTCGAACTCACAGACTGCGAGATCGTGACCTGGCTGAAGTCGGACGCTTAACCGACTGCGCCACCCAGGCGCCCCAAGTACATTGATACTTCTAACTGGCTCATGATAGCTTTACCACAATTCTCTTATATACCATGTTTTCCCTTTTGCCTTTTCTTACAGTTTCTCATTTTCATCTTTTTCTCTACTCTTGATTATAAATTTCTCAGTAGAAGAAACTGTGTCTTCCTCATCTCAGTCCCCAACACATCAAGCCTTCAGTAACCACTAATAACCCACCTTTAAATAAATACACTAAGCAGGCTCTTCAAGGGACACGGATTCTGTGGACAGTATAAATATAAGTAAGTGTACTTGAGTCACATCTCCAACAGTCGTTGGGATTTAATTTCTGGATAAGATTTCAACAAAACTGACATAGCAGCCTTCATGCCAGGCACAAATTAATTTTCAGCCCGTAATTGAAATATTTCATGGCGCTACTTTTTGTTGGTTTATTCAAGGAAGCAGCTGGAAACACATGAATCGCGTTGTAACAAAGCATTGCTCTCAAATATAATTCACAGCATCTTACAACATGCACTTTCAGGTGGCTGAGCTGTGCAGAAAGGAGATTTTTTTTTTCTTCTGAGACTCTGAAAAGAGTGGAAGATAACCCCTGTGTTCTTGCCCACATTGCTTATCTGCCAGCAACAGGTTACAATCCCATTGCTCCATGTTCCCTAACATTTACTGAATGTATAATAGCTGAGTATTCATGAAAGCTAATGCAGTGGATGAAAACAAATTAATTTGGTTGGTGCCCAAGGCAGTTGAAAGGTACACCTGCATTTTTTGGTCTCTAGGTACCAAGAATAAATGTTGGATTTAATCACAAGCTGGCCTGTCATTTTGGGGGAAAGGAATTCATGTCAGGTGAAATTCTGTTTATACTGGTAGATGTGTTGACTCTTCCCCTTGTGCTGTTGAGTCTTGAGGATGTACACACACTTTCACATTGGTGACGTCTTCATTGAAGAAAATACAGCAGCCTGATATTTTTATGTGAATTGTCTTTGAAATTTGTGTTCCTTGTCTTTGGATGTAATAAATATGTGACAGAAACATACACAGAGGGGAAAAAGCAATGTCCTCAATAAGTTTTGGCATTCTTAAGAAGTTAAATGACGCATTGCAAAATCTGAAGCATTTTTCGGATGAGTTAGGACTAATATTCTCTTAGACGCCCTGGCAAAGAAAGTTTTATATTGTCTTCCTTGGCGATGCTGAGTTCAAGCATCAATAACAGCCTACTTCATGCTTACATGAACAAAACACGTTGTAGGTAATGAGGTTATAAAAAATTAACTCAAGGAGATGTTAAGTGTTTCACACATAGACAAAGGATAGGTGGAAAAACTTATCTCCTAGTAAAAGAATCACTTACCAATTAATTGCTCCTTTGTTCAAATGGGTCCGCTTTGTGCTGGGATTGAATGTCGTACTTCTAAAACAGTTAAAATTTAAGTGTCCCTAGGAAAGGAAACTGCTAAGAGTGTGTACTGTGTGGGGTGCAGCCTGGAAACTAGTAGATTCAAGACCTCACTGAACATGGACTGCAATGCTTGGAAAAGAACTTACTTTGGAGTCATAATGACTCAGTGGTACTTGTTACTGCCACACGTTAATAGAGTGACTTTGAGCTAATCACCAATCATCTTTAAGCCTCATTTTCCTTATCTTCTAAAAAAAAAAGGGCAGAGTAGATTTTCTGTAGGGTTCATTTTGTCTCTAAGATCCTATCAGTGTAACAGGGCTTTTTATCTTGGGCCTGTCCATCTCTGTATTATCCTGGACCTTATTTCTTGGAATCTGAGAATCCAATTTACATCTTCATTGTACTAAAGCCTATAAAGACATTTTCAAAGAGTCACTGGATTACAATTGTCACTTTCTCCAGACATCATCATCATAATAAATCCTCATTAAGAAGCATTTATTGTTCACTAATGTATGTAAGATACACGAGTCAGAGATGTACATATAATCATATACTTAATAAGAAAAACTTGTAAGAATAGAACTAGCCAAAGTCTTTGCAGAGAAAGTATGAGTCTTTTAGCTTGGCTAGATTTTGTGGGAATGCTCTATTTTATTTATTTATTCATTTTTTTTTTTTTTATTTATTTAGGTCTTGGCCTCTTTCATGGTCTTGAGTGTGCACCCTGAAAATAATAAATAAAATCATGAAACTGTTTGTCTTTATTAAGTCTCTTGGTATGGTAATACCATTTAGAAATGTTTCTTTTTTAATGAGTCTTGTGTTTTTAATATAACTGAAATAATTTGATGGATGGGTACTATAAAAGTAAAATCAAGGCTATTATTCTCATATGCCTGTAGACAATCAAATGCAATTCGCTATAAAAATAAGTTGCACTTATCAACAGAAAAAAAATACAGTTATTTGTAGGAAATGTTAAGCAACTCGTTAGCTTGCTTAGAGGAAAAAAAAGAAAGTCAAATAAAAAGATGTCTTTTTATTTTATTTTATTTTATTTTATTTTCTCAACAGTATTTACCACCAACAAGGCTAATATTAAGTCAGGGTAATTATTATTAATAATAATTCAGGGTGATTATTTTAGTTTTCCACACTGAATAGTTAGATATCAGGCTTTAAGGATCTTTAATTCTCAGCTCTTTCCCCTCTGTGGAATTAAGGCTGTTCTCCCAATCAATCAGATAAAAATCAATAATATTGAGATTGAAGTCCTCAAACACCACAAACTAGTTTTAAACTGCATGTAAGCCTGATCTGGTGTTTAATGCCTCCATTCTCTTCCTCCATAGGCGTTTATGTCCATGTTCCAGATCCTCACCCAGGAAGGATGGGTAGACGTAATGGACCAAACCCTAAATGCTGTGGGACACATGTGGGCACCTGTGGTAGCCATCTATTTCATTCTCTATCACCTCTTTGCCACTCTGGTGAGTTTAGCATTTCTTGTCAATTATATCTTAGTACCGTAGTGGGGTAAGCATCAACCGGTTTCTGTGGCCTCTTTTCAATGTCAAAACGAGAGTCAGAGAACCAGTGTAGAGTAGTCCGGCCACATGAGGTTTCTTCCAGTCTAAATTTCTATGACTCCAACTGCTTGAGGAACTAGATTCCAAATTTGACTAAGAGGAGGGCTCCATCCTATACGCCAGTGTCTGCCTGAGGGAACACGAGATAAAACATAATGAAATCCCATATTCAAGTACATGGTTAACCATCTCTAAGTGTTCCCAGAACTATGTCATTATTATTGCTGCTGCTATTATTGTTATTTATAAGGTGGGGACACACTCTTCAGTTTCACTGCTTCCATTCCAAAGCTGAGATTAAACTGAAGACCTTGACTCTAGGGTGCAGTTAGAAGTCAGCTCTGTGTTTCTGGGCTGTGTGGCTGAAAGAAACACATGGGAAAAAATTAAAACACAGAGTCACAAATATTGCAAAAAGCATCATGAAAACAAAATACCGAAACCCAGGAAAAATTGACTTCTATCACACAAGGAGAATTTTCTTTTCAATGCATGTGCATTAAACAGAAAGAAAAAGGTTGTGAAATATGGCCTTGACATAGTAAGGGATGTAATTCTCAGATCTTTCTAATGGCCAAAGTATATCTCCTTATAATAAATGTGTGTATATTTAAGAAGCAAACTTAAGCTCTATTATGTTAAAAGTTCTAGTGTAAGGACCCAAAATGTTATCCTTTATCAGAAACACATGAAATTAAAAAAACAAAAAACAAAAAGCCCTACTGTTGCTAAAAAGCAGAACGTTTCATAATTTCATTCCTAATATTTGGAACAACCAAGGTAGGCAGTGTTCCCACTTTACAGATGATGAAACTGAGGCTTACAGATGATGAAACACACCCAACATCATGTACAGTGTAAATGCTAGACCCAGGACGTTCCCATGTCTTCCTGGTCTCATAGCCTGTGGTCAGGCAGCTACGTTGTTATTTCCTAAGATTGTGAAGTTTAGCATTATCACTGAAAATGTCTTCCTGGAATCAAACCTCTCTCCAAGAGTCACTAAAATAAGACAAATTACAAATGGGCACTAAGATTCCTTCCAATTCTAAATGTGAACTAAATAGGTGCTTCAGAAACTAGATGTGTTCAAGGTTGCATTTGCTATAGGCAGAACCTTTCTTTCGAAAGGGAGCACATAGGTCAAAAAGTGTATAGGGATACATTGTTACTTGGTGTAACGTTTTAGGTTCAAACCGTAGAACCACATAGAAATAGTTTTGGCATTTTTTACGTGGGGTGACTTTTAAAATATGCACAAAAGGAAAGAACCTTCTGCAGAAGGAATGGAGGCCTGGTTTCCAGAGCCAAATCCACCTGCACCTCATGACATTGGCCCTGAGGGCTTTGCATCCTGTCTTCTGGGACCTTTAAGTCTATCTCATTCATCCATCCATCCATTCATTCATCCATCCACACACCCATTTGTCGATTCAACTAATGTTTATTAAGTACCTACTCTGTTTAAGTTCCTGTATAACTATGGAATAGCTTGGAGACTATTGATCATAGTTAAAGGTAGGATAGATATGATTGAAATCATCTATGTATAGTAATAATCTAATTGTTCTTCTATTAAAACAATATATTTGTTTGCTATCCTCATGGCAGATGTTTCACACAAATTTGATCCTTTATTGAAAGTCTCACACAATACGAAAGCAAGAAGAAAAATGATTCGGCCTAGTAAACTGTTTATACCAAACCAACGCAACCTCTCTGTTGCGTTGTATCTGAAAATGAGGGTAACTATGCCCCACATATCTACTTTCCAAGATGCCATCTACATGGGAGCTGTATTTTGGGGGATGTTTTAGCCATGGGATAAGAGGGTGATCACAGCTATCACCAACACTGAGTTTAAATAAGATGTTGTGTGCATTTAAAGCTATACATTAATAAAGGCTAAACATTTAATATGTTCAGATGCTTTTAATTTATAGAAGTAAAGTATTACTGATCAATTTAAAGCATCATTGATGCCCATTCCTAGACCGAGTCCTTCTCTGCCTTAATGTTTCCTTCTTCCACCCGCACCATGTCTCCCAGATAATGACTGGGATGTATTTGGTATGAATCTATCGTCCAGTTTTAAATCATATTTTACTGAATTTAACATGCTATTAACTATAGGAAGACTCTTATTTTGGCTAACATTAACAAGAAACAACAATTAAACCAAACACACATAGATAAGTTGCATGCCAGTTTTAGACTGTTGAAATGTAAAAATAAACGTGTGTCTAAAAATCCATGAAATGAAGTAGTTTCCCACATATATATGTATCCATCAAAAATATGTAATGTTTTAAATTTAAGGTTATAACCTACAAACAGTTTATACCATTAGTTTTTAAGATTTATATTAATTTTCCAGTTGAGAAGCTATGCTCCAGTGCCCTGATGGCTGTCCCTGGGAGGCATGTCCCTGTACACTTTTCTCACTGCTATGGCCACACAGCATGCTGAGGCCAAGTCATATTTGATCATTGTTTCTCTCCTTAAGATCATTAGTAGCAGCAATTTTCAGGGTAAATGGGATCAAACTCCACACACATTCCCCAAATACTGTTTTTGAAATCTTTTTATCCTAATGTACATAAAGTTCATTAGTATATATAATCATGAATATATGGAATATGACTGACTGTCATATTTGTTTATCAGTCCTTCCTGGTGGATATTTAAGTTGTATTCCAATGTTTTGCCCTCACAATGTTGCAACTAATACATGTATACATTGTGTCCACTTGTGTGAGTGTTTCTCTAGGTTATATGCCAGAAAGTAGAACTCCAGATCCTGGATCCTGCCCAGATGGCTCTATAGCATGGGTCTGCAAGCCCATATATCAAATCTGGTCCACAGGCTTTATTTATACAGCCCTTGAGCAATGCACAGGAGTGGTTTGTGCATTTTAAAATTACTATATAAGTACGCATAGAACATCATCAGTGTTGCCTCTCGGCCCTCAAAACCTAAAATATTCACTGTAGGGACCTGACACTTGCTGAGCCCTGTTCAATGGGCAAGCTATACTAGCTCGCCCTCCCAAGTGCTGCAGTTGAGAACCCCATGTTCTTCCTTCCTCATGTACAGTTGACGTGGTTAGGCTTAAGATTATGACAGTCTGATGAGTTGGATGGTAGTATCACTTGGCCTTTAGCTTGCATTTTTGCATTTCAGTAGTTGTCGATAAGGGAGCACTTCTTCATATGCTTACTGACCATCTTTGTGACCCACCCAATCATATTGTAAGCTTTACCTGTTTTTCCAAAAGCTAGTTGGTCTTTTTAGAATGCATTTGTCGGAGTACTACATATCCTGTGGGATAGTAGTCCCGTGACTGCTGTAGGAGTTGCAAATTTCCTCTGTTAGGCAGCATTTTGTTATTTCAATTTGTCTCTGATGGCTTTTGACATTATATTTTGACATGGTCCAAACCATCCGTTTTTCACTTACGGTCAATATTTATTCTGGATTCATGCTTAGGAAATTCTTTCCCACCCTGATGTGGGAAAAATACTCTCCTCTGTCTTCTAATTGTTTTAAATTTCTGGTCTTTAAGGAATCTTAACGTACTGCTTGTATATAGTGTGAGCCAGATAAAATACACTGCTGCAAGAAAACTCAAAGGTTTTTCTTAACCAGATTTATGTGAAGTGTTTTAAGCTTTGAGATATTTGGTTGGGTTCTCTGATTATGAAATCTAAAGCCAAAAGGACAACTACTCAGATTTTTTAAATTTATAAATGATTTTTTTAATGTTTTTAATTTTTTTAAGTTTATTTATCTTGAGAGAGAGAAAGCAAGCTAGAGAGACAGAGACAGAGAAAGAGAGAGAGAATCCCAAGCAGACTCTGCACTGTCAGCATGGAGTCCAGTGTGGAGCTCGAACCCATGAACCACAAGATCATGATCTGGCCGAAACCAAAACCGACCAAGCCTCCCAGGCGCCCCTATAAATGATTTTTTTTTAAATGAGAGCTAATTAACTCACTGAAAGAAGGCACTCCACAAGACATGAAATCTGAGTGTCCCTTTCATACTATACTACCCAAAAAGTCTTGGGACCAAAGTCACTTTGCCAGTTCACTTGAGATTTTGCCTAAAACATGATCAGCAGTTACTCTGCTTTTCTGGACATCCTCCAAGCCACAGTCACTATGACAGGCTCTACAGTGTTAGCCCAATCTGATTTAGCCCAGTTTTCCTGAATCTCAACTGCTATGTCTAAGTACTAACCTACATCCTGGCCAGCTTGGCAAAGAGCTCAATCCCTCCCCTTTTTGAGTCTATACCTAGTATAGAAGTAGGACAAGTAAACACAGACCAACCAGCCAACCAACAAATAAATAAAACCTGTGATTTAAGACCTACTGATGCAAGTGATAAAAGGCTGTGGCTTGCCTTCTATTAGGGCCCACATAATACTTCTGATTCCCGCTCATCCCAGCCCTACCTGATCTGAAATAGTTAAAATATTGGCAGTAAAACAGCTGGAGACAGTCTGTGGATTGACAGATAAAATATGTGGATGGAGGCCCTAGGCCTGTGTTAAATATGCATCACATCCCCTTAAAATCCGAACACAAGTTAAAATCTCCATTCCATAAGCCTGTCTTTAGGCTTGAACTTAATTAAAATGAGCATTTTTCTTAAATTGTACGCTTCTTTTTGCAAAATACTACAAAGCATTTTAATCCAAATGAAAAAAAAAAAAAGTCCACATAAATATACAAGCTCTGATTTGTTTTTTATCCACACTGGCCAAGTCGTGCTGCACAAGCCAGGGAGTCCCTGATTTAGTCTTTTCAAGGACAGGCATATGCCAGGCAGCAAAATAAGAAAAAAAAAATGTTTGGCTGCAGTTTGTTCTGGAATAAAAAACAGCAGGCTATTC